CAGGATCAATGGCGATGGCAGGGATGGCGACAGCGGCAATGGTGGCAGTGGGGATGGCGACGGCAGCAATGGCGATGGTGGGGATGGCGACGGCGGCAGTGGTGCTGGCAGGGATGGCGATGGGGGAACAGCAACGGTTGGCGATGGAGGGGATGGGGACAGCGTCGCCATTGCCACCGTCACCGTTCCCCCCATCGCCACTGCCGCCGTCGCCATCCCTGCCATCGCCACTGCCACCGTCGCCATCCCTGTCATCGCCACTGCCACCGTTGCCGTTCCTGGCGACGGCAGGATCAATGGCGATGGCAGGGATGGCGACAGCGGCAATGGTGGCAGTGGGGATGGCGACGGCAGCAATGGCGATGGTGGGGATGGCGACGGCGGCAGTGGTGCTGGCAGGGATGGCGATGGGGGAACAGCAACGGTTGGCGATGGAGGGGATGGGGACAGCGTCGCCATTGCCACTGTCACCGTTCCCCCCATCGCCACTGCCGCCGTCGCCATCCCTGCCATCGCCACTGCCACCGTCGCCATCCCTGTCATCGCCACTGCCACCGTTGCCGTTCCTGGCGACGGCAGGATCAATGGCGATGGCAGGGATGGCGACAGCGGCAATGGTGGCAGTGGGGATGGCGACGGCGGCAATGGCGATGGTGGGGATGGCGACGGCGGCAGTGGCGATGGCAGGGTTGGCGATGGGGGAACAGCAACGGTTGGCGATGGAGGGCCGGCTTCAGACTGCAACTTCCCATGTATGCTGGCATGCTGCTGGGCATGGAAGTCGATAGAGAGGTGTCAGAGAGAGGTTTCACTTGGAATTCCTTTCAAGGCACATACTAAGTGCTGCTGGCAGGTTCACAGGTGACAGCCTTGGAGCATTTGTCTTACTCGATGCCATAATCAATCCATGAAATTTAGAATAGCTTTAGTTTCATTCTGGACTCTTTCATAGCTGGAACCTTGACGGACTGCATGCTACAATCCAGGTACGGCATGCAGTGGACCGGTGACACTCAAGAAATCCTGCATACACTTCCTTAATCTTAGACGCCATAGTTCTTCCATTTTGTTGTAAGTACAGATTTACAACGATTACTACTGCGCTTGACATTGAGCATCTAACAGCGACTCACTGCCAACACAAAGCGTTGACTACAGATGTTTATGCCATTAGACCTCATTTAAGTGAGCGAGGACAAGAGCTTGCCACAAGGCTGAAGTTTGAGAAGAGGCTTCTTCTCTGTGAGGGCGCCCTTAGGTCCAGTCTGCTGGGCTCTCTTACTGACGATGGTGACAATGAAATCTTCCAATGTGACTGGGAGGCACAGGAGCAGACCAATATTTTCAAGCTGTTCGGGCTGGGTGAGTCACGGGACTGTGTTGACCAGGTCCACATTGCCGGCGGCCACCTCATGACTCTGTACTCGTCATCACAGAACTTTGTTACCTGCTTCTATCTGTTATTCTGACATGTATGCTAGCTATTTACCGCCGTCAAGGGTTGCAGTCCGATGCTGCTGCATGATAACTAACGTAATGTTTTATTGTTCTTTGCCCCTCTATTTGTTTTCAATGCAGATGTATTTTAGCTCTTGAGTGTCGAGGAGGCAGAGCAGTGTCTTGAAGCTGTTTCAAGCAGCAGCCGGACCCCATGACCAATGGATGTCGAGCGCTGGACCAGATCACCTAGCAGCAAATCAGGAAGTGAGTTCCTGTCAAAGTTTGTGTTGGTTTCATGTCAGGGTTACACATAGGCTGGTTGGGTGCTCACCAAGAATGCATGGTTTTGCGACATCGTGTTAATTGTGTGCTTCAGTATAGCAACCTGTCCATTTTTACTCCACTAAGCCTATATGTCTATAACTAACTGACTGACACATGTCCCGCTGCTGTTGCAGTCAACCACCTTGGACATGGTGAAGCAGTGGGCGACGGTGGAGATTGCAACAGCCATGATGACAGCAAAGGCCACCTCAAAGCGCAGCCGTTCTGGACCTGATGTCGTCTTGACTGAAGCGGATCATGGAAACAAAGGCGAAGGGGAAGGGGGGCAAGAAACGACGGTGGTAATGGATGCACGTTTATTTTGGGGTGAATGCACATGCAATGTGATGGACAGCTGCAATGTCTTGTTTTGTGGAGGTGCCTTTTCTTAGGGCTGAAGGCGTGTTCTTATCACATGGTGGACAGGGTCTTGAGACGGCTTGGCTTATAAGCAAATCCGTATCAAGACGCTGTTCATCATGTGATAAGAACACGCCTTCCTAGTTAGGATTGGGGGCGTGTCCATGGCGCGATGGACATTATGAAAAGGCTTAATTTTGGACTGAAAGGGGCCTTCATATCACGTGATGTATATGTTTCATTTTATGGAGACGGCTTCTTTTTGGACTGAAAGGGGCCTTCATATCACGTGATGGACATGGGCTCGTTTTATGGAGACCACCTTCATTTTGGACAGAAGGGGTATTCAAAGCGTAAGGGACGTTCATTCTGAGCTACCTTCATTATGTAATGAAGTGGTCCTCATTCTAAATTGACCCGGTGCCCTCGATTTGGTGTGGAATGAAGGGTCCTTCATGAAGGTATGAAGGGTCTTCATTAAGGTATGAAATGAGTGTGAATCGCATATAGAATGAAGGCTCCAGGTTCCCAGAGTGCTACTGACGCCGTGCTGTCGCAGGTCCCATTAGATAGGTCTGTGATCACCCCATTTAGTGCATGCATGACCTGGGATCCGTCAGTGAACAGAGCAGCATAGTCACGATAACGGGAGATCTCAAACACTGCTCGCTTCTTTTGGCAGCACCCTTTGGCACTCATCCCTGTTCCTCCCACAGCTAGACCAAGCACTAGCGTCACTGGACGGTGGTCAGTCGGTAACCAACCATCTGGCGCGAGCAGCTCACCCACTCGCATCCAATAGGCATGGCGGAGAACACCGGCCGAACCTACAAAAAGATCGATCATGTTCCCACCTGCCTCACCCTTGGGGAAGGCCAGATGACCCTCTGAATCCCTGGAAACACGGCCAATTAATACCAGCAGCCCCTGTGATCGGCCCAGGGCACGCAACTGGTGCCCAGCAAAATTGCAGACGAGGTCCTCACTCCTACATCTAGGCACGTCTGCATAGCCCTGAGGGTCCGTGTCACCCGGCAAGCCCATGAACTCCTGCAGTGCCGTCAGTTGATCTAAATCTGGAACATCACTAACGTACCCGGGCAGGTCAGCAGGCGAGGACCGGTGCTTTGCATGCTGTGCACTAGATAGACGGGCATTTAGATCATCAGCAAGCATCACATCCTCCCCCGGCTGCCGGAGCTCAGAAATATCTTGTTGGACTCTCACGAAAGCAGCTTCTGCTGCTGCTGCTCGCTGTGCATTAGTTGCACCTCCGGCTGGGTACACTCTGGAAGTTTCAGGTGCAAGGTAACAGGCCCCCACCAGGAGGCTGTTTCCTGACAGGAGGTTGACATGTATCCACAGGACCTCACAGCCTGCAAGACTGTTGTTTTTCCGGACAATGGTAACCCCATGGGAGACTGTATCATGCACGTAAAGAGCAAACCCGCCATAGTCAGCGTGTATGGCGTCTCCTGACCTCTGCACCCGCATCAGGCGGAAACCTTCAAGGGACACGTCACTGTCTGGCACTGCATCCGTTAAGTGTGCTTCGGTAGCAATGATGAGATCATGGCTAGTCACAAAAGACTTAATTCCGGCACGGTCAAGCTTAAAAACTCCTGCCTCCAACAACCCATGGACATTCCACAACAAAACCTTCAAACCTCTTGGCCCTCGGCTCGCGTTATCCTAATCATCCACTTCAGCAGGCAGGCCTGCAAACCGGTTAGCACTAGTGAGCTTGCCAGCCTGGTCATGAGGTCGGTTATCAGCTCTGCTGCTGAGCCCTGCACGTCCCTCCCGGCTTCTAATTGTTCCCTCATCAACCCCCAGACCTTGCCGGCCAGTCCCACCATGGCTGTCTCGATCCTGGTCCTTAGCACTCCTCCGCCCTGAGGTGGTAGTGAAGCCGTCAATATCCATGGTGGGGCCGTGTTGTAGCGCCTTATAGCGTTACAAAGCCAAATCGCAAAGCGATGAAGGCGTGATTTGATTAAGACTGATCTATGAACAGTCTATGAATACCTTGAGATTAAGAAGTGTTTCCTAATTAAGGATTGACACTCTTTCAGGGTTCCTACCCTAATCGAACAGACACCTCGGTCTAACCAGCCGTCAGGTGGTCCGAAGGGACACTCTACGGCCTCTCTCTCTCTCTCTCTCTTGCGGCCTCCTAAGCAACGAGTATTATATACAATCGGGAGGGAGCCTGGGTTGGATGATTAATATTTATATATTAACAAAGAGACAGAGTTTATATTACTCTATCTTTAGACAAGAGCCCAGACCTTGACGGATCGAATCCGTCCTGTGACTTTCGGTTCTTGCCTACATTACAATAGGACCTATAATTCGAAATCCTGATTTACAAAAGAAATATTTAGAAGTAGTTCAGTGGCAGCTCTACGTTGCGAGCTTAGACGCCGACTTCCCATTCGACCTTCACGGCCTTTAACCCTACCCAGCTTCAACAACTGCGTGATCAGCTGACTTTGGCGGTCGCTGCCTTAACTTTGAACCGTAAGTTAGAGGCCCTTCGAATTCCTTAACGCGAATGAGTGGTTACTTTCCACTTTTAGACCCCTCAGAGAACCCGGCCCCAGGCGGAGGCACCCCGCCTCCGGCCGCGGCCAATAATGAGACCGCTAATGCGGGAGCTGGTGGGTCGCGACCCGCCGCGACGAACCCGCAAGACATAACTCTGAACCAGAACCCAGGACAGATTCAGACTCCTGAGACCGCGGTGCTGCATGAGCAAATTGCTGCTCTTGCCGCCGAAATCCGCGAGTTGAAACAGACCCAACGAAGCGCCGTTTCTCTGAGAAATCCCGAGGTAATTGGGAACCCTCTGAATCCTCCTCCGAACGTTGGCTCCCGGTTGAAAGCCCTGAAAATTTCTGAACCGCAGTGGAAGACCGGCCAGAGTCCCGAAAATTTCATCCGCTATTTTCGGCTCTACTACAAGGACGTTCTGCTTGCAAGTCGCGTCCCATAGCAAACCAAACTCAAACACAAGGACGTTCTGCTTGCAAGTCGCGTCCCATAGCAAACCAAACTCAAACACAAGGACGTTCTGCTTGCAAGTCGCGTCCCATAGCAAACCAAACTCAAACACAAGGACGTTCTGCTTGCAAGTCGCGTCCCATAGCAAACCAAACTCAAACACAAGGACGTTCTGCTTGCAAGTCGCGTCCCATAGCAAACCAAACTCAAACACAAGGACGTTCTGCTTGCAAGTCGGGTCCCATAGCAAACCAAACTCAAACACAAGGACGTTCTGCTTGCAAGTCGCGTCCCATAGCAAACCAAACTCAAACGCAAGGACGTTCTGCTTGCAAGTCGCGTCCCATAGCAAACCAAACTCAAACGCAAGGACGTTCTGCTTGCAAGTCGCGTCCCATAGCTCGGTAGCGTGCGAGTTTACCCCTATCAGGATGTTTGTTTGCATATCCCTCCAAGCGAGAGGGCTTGGACCTATGCTGATGTTCGTTCCAAGAAGTGAACTGAGGACTGATGCTACGGTGTAAGATTTGCACGTCAATTCGCCCGTGCAATAAAACGCCCTGTAACTCGCTTACCCTAATCTCACATTCCAATATGCCATTGCACTTTCCTCTCCAGCCTGGCCACATTCTCTTCCTCGCAAACGTACTTGGGCACCTTACAATCCAACACCATACGGGCTTTGGAAACGCGGGCAGCTGCTTCACAAGGACCCCCCTATTTAAAAAACATGAAAAAGCTGTGTCGGCTTCCTTGAATCCGGAAAAAAGGGCGGGGCCCCCCTGCATCCGTACAGGCCGGTAGCTAGGGCGGCAAGTGTGACAATTGATGGGTAGTGTCAACATGGTGGGAGTTGTGCTTGTTACAGCAGTGCTGATGCTGTGGGAGGTATGCTTGTCAGAGCACGGGATGCAGGAAGCCGGGGCTCATAACCTGTTGAACAGACGGTGTCTCTCGGGAACCTAGCAGGCACGGCTAAGAGTCATTGCCAATGACTCATTGGCCGTTACATGCAGTCTGGAGGTCCGCGACCTACCACCGACAGCCGCTTGCTTGGGCGTATACGTATGAGTCTGAGGTGCCGTTGCCGGCACACAGCAGGGGCTCGGCCGCCAAGTCCGTGGTCCAGACCGGCTGCTCAACACTCAGCAGACACAATCGCAGCTTGCCAGCCTTCAGCCTGTTGGCTTTGCGGTCTGGTGCCACAGTCCTAACACACACGGAAAACAACACTGCACAGCACTGTATGCACTGCCTACAGAGCCCCTTCGGGCATTAACTTGCCCATTGGGGCGCCTGGCCACGCGCCCTTGGCGCCCTCCTAGCTCGACACACTTCCTCTAAGCCCTCAGCATTTTTTCCACTTTCCCCCTCGCACGGTGCTCTGGCGATCTAAGTGACGCCCAGCACCATGCGGCAATGCACGAACTTGATTTCACCCAGTGCCTTGGTGAGAATGTCAGCCACCATGTTGTTGTTGGTGCAATAGTTGAGCCTAACCTCACCACGCGTGGCCGTTTCGTGCACGATGTGATGGTGCACATCGATGTGCTTGGATCGCACCGACGTGATGGGGTTGTTGCCGAGGCTGAGCGTGAATCCAGCTGGGTGTTGATGGCGCCGGGTGACAGGTCCAGGTCGCCCACCAGCTTGCACAGCCACATAGTGCCTTGTGCACGGCTGCTGCGGCGGCCTGGTACTCGGCCTCCATGGACAAGGCAGTCATGGTGCGCTGCAACTGGCTGCTTCAGCTGGCCGCTGCACTGCCGAGCAAGAATGTGTAGCCTGTGGTGGACCGGCGGGTGGCTGGGTCGCCAGCCCAGTCCGCGTCACTGTACCCACCGAAGTTGCGGGTGTTGCTGCCGCTGTCACCACGGTACCACAGCCCGAGTGTGCAGGTGCCGGATAGGTAGCGCAGCCCTCCCAGCACGAGCCCTATGTGGGCCTTGGTGGGGCCGGGCATGCGTCGCGTGAGCATGCTCAAGAGTGTGTGCGATGTCCAGGCATGTGCTGATGGTGAGGTAGTTCAGCTCGCCCACCAGCACGCGGTAGTAGTTCAGCTCGCCCACCAGCACACGGTAGCCGCTGCCATCAATCACTGTCAGCTGGGCATCACGGGCTGGCATAGCACGCGTGCCCTGAGGCAGCGGGGTGGCGCGCGGCTTGGCGTTCTCCAGGCTGTGGCGCTGCAGCAGCTACTCCACATAGTGCTGCTGCGTGAGCACAATGCAGCGGTTGCAGCCATCCTGGACGATCTTCATGCAGAGGTAGCAGCGTGCCTCGCCAAGGTCACGCACTGTGAAGTAACCGGTGATGGCTGCCTTGGCAGGCCGCAACCACTTGCAGGTTGTCCGCCGTCACCAGCATGTGGTTGGCAGTGTGCATCGCACTGCTGCCTCCGCCACCACCACTGCCGTCGGGCATGTTAGACTTAGCGCTGTCAGCGCTACCACCCGAGCAGTGGTGTTAGCGCTGTCAGCGCTACCACCCGAGCAGTGGTGGACTTCCCGACTCTCCACCACTGCCGCTGCTGCTGCTGTTGGGGGGCCGGGCCGTCACTGACCGGGGCCAGCGGCATGTGCAGGGACTGCCGTTGACTGCGGGTGTTGGGGTGGAAGGGGTGGTGTTGGGGTTGCTGGGGGCGGGGTGGCTGCTGGGGTCGGCAGCATGGCCCAGCGTAGAGCCACCGATGGCGTTGCTACCGCCGGGGCAGGCGGGGCTAGTGCCGAAGGGGGTGTGCGCCCATTGTGAACCGGGCCGTGGTGGTCGTCATCGAAGGTGACGTCGCTGCTCACGGTCACCTTGCCCTCAACGAGGACGCGGTGGGTGGCCGTGCCATGCTCCGGTCAGCGGTAGGTTCCCGCCTTTGCACGAGGACAGAGTTTGTTCTGCTGGCTGGCTGGGATGTGGATGTAGGCCAGGCAGCTCAAGGTGTGGAGGTGGCTGACGTCGGGGGGGACGCCATGATAAGCTGCCCACGGTGTGGCCTGCCGGCGCTGATAGGGGGGCACATTGCGCAGGAGGTTGGTGTAGAGTGCAGCCTCCAGCCAGTAGCTGATCGGGAGTGCTGCATCATGCAGCATCACCCGCACACAGTCGAGGAGTGTGTGGTTGAGTCACTCCACCGCTCCATACTGCTCTGGGGTGAACAGTGCCGAGTGGGTGTGTGTGGTGCCGTGCTGTTGCAGCCACTGCTCCAGTTGCTTGGTGATGTACACACCACCATTGTTGCTGTGCAGTGTGTGCACCCGTGCATGGTTCGGGTGGCGGGCCTCCAGCTGCGTCACCATGTCCTGCAGCACTTCGCCCATTGGCTCTTGCTGGCCAGCGTGCTGACGGTGGACAGACCGGTGGCACCATCCAGCAGTGTCAGCAAGTAGCGTGCTCCCCCTCGGCCTATGGTCGGCATGGGCCCGCACAGGTCAGAGTGTACGACCTCCAGTGTGTGCTACGGCCGGTTACCGCAGCTGGGGTGGGCGGTTGCGGTGGCCTTCACGGTGACATCGCAGACGGCCTCCATCTCCTGGCACAGTGCCGCTGGAGTGACCTGTGGTCCCTGCACCAGCTGCTTGCTGATCAGCTGCTCCAGCACATGGTAACCAAGGTGACCGTACTGGTGGTGCAGGCGCTGTGCTGCCACAAGTCTGGCGACTGAGCATTCAATGGCCCCGGGTCTGCCGTTGCCTGGTTGCCCTTTGCCGTTGCTGTCACCGTCCGGCTGGCCTCCACCAGTGTGGCTGCCGGTGTTGCTGCCGCCACGGGTGCTGGGGATGGCGGCGGCACTTCCGCCAGCGCTGCTACCTGCGGCCTGGCCCCCCCCAGCTCTGTCGCCCGTGGTGCCGAGGGCATTGACGGTGATGTCGGCGCCTGCAGGTGCCCATGCTCGCTCCATGCAGTGATAGACGGGCTGTTCTGCGGGAGGCTGATGTGTGAGAACCAGCAGCCCATCGTGTCCGTGCTGAACGTGACTGTGCAGCCGCATGTCATGAGCTCTGTCGACCTCTCACGAGGTCGACAGACGTCAGGGTGAGGCCCGAGCTGTGGACGTGCAGCACGTTGTGCAGCCAGACATTGTTTCCAACGCGTGTATGCAGGTGCAGCTTCCCTGTTCCCACGACATCGGCTGGCTGGTTGTTGCCCCACTCGATTAGCTGTGGTGCACCGGTGGGGACATGGTTGTGCAGCAGGGAGCGATCACCCATGAGGTGGTATGGTGAGCCTGAGTCGTGGATGACTCGTGAGCTGCTGCCACTGCCAACGATGACCAGCACTGTGGCACGGCTCTGGCATGAGCTGCTTCCGCTGCTGCCCGAGCTGCTGCCACTGCTGCCGCCTGCAGTGTAGCCACCGTTGCGGTGGCTGTTGCCACATCAAGCATGGCCGCGCTCACATGCTCCGTCGCCCCCGCTGTTACCGCAATTGCTGCTGCCAGTGCCCCTGCCGCCACCGTCACGGTGGCGGTTGCAGCTACCTCAACTGATTTTGCCGGCGGCATGCAGCTGCTGGAATGCGTTGCTGCGGTGAAGGCCGATGGACTCGTCCACCTGCTTAACGGGGCACTTGCAGATGAGTGACCAGGCTGTCCGCAGTAGCGGCAGGTGTCGCCGGCCCCCATGGCGCCTGCGGCACCGGCAGTGCTGCCGACTCCACTGGTGGCATGGCCAGGGCCGACAGATCCCACCAGGCTGGTCTTGCTTGCTTGGGTCTCAAGGTTGTCCTCCTTCTTCCGCAGCATGAGCACGAGCTGTGGGGTCGTTAAGTTGGGCTGACACATCTTGAACTCCACGGTGATGGTGCACTGCGGAGGCAGGCCATGGAGAATGGCGTGGCGCATCGTGCTCTCGTCCCACTGGCCGCCAGGCACGATTGCCCACTGAACGAAGTCAGCAGTCGTCTTCCCATCACGCATGCTCAGCTGCTTCTGCGGCTCCAACAGGCTCAGCTGGGCCTGGGATGCAGAACGCAACTGTTGCTGTAAGAGCTGCATTTCGGCGAGAATGGTCTGGCAATTCCTGAGCAACTGCTTGATGGGCAGTTCACAGGACAGATGCAGGTAGCCGAGCGCCTGTGCGTCCTCCTCCAGGGTGTCTTGGGTGTTGCGGCCCGGAGGCGACGGGTTGTTGATGTAGTCTTCAACTTGGACGTTGTGAGGAAATCGCCTAAGTCGCCGAGCCACTGGGGGTAGTTCGACCCATCCGAGAGGAGGACACCCTTACATCCCTTCCCCATGATGGTTGCCTAGCGAGCGTGACTGATCAAGCCGCGTTCCCCACCACCTTTCTGGCAACTAGTTGATGGTATGATGCATCGTTGTTGCGGCGTACAATGGCTCCTGATGCGATTTATGCCCTTTCAGCCTCCCAGGCATGTCCCCACAACTGCCTCACAGCCACCAACGCATCTCACGGCGGGGTCTAATTGTGTGCGTGTTTGGATGCAGTGTTCCCCGCCACCTTTCGGCATATAGTTGATGGTGTCATACATCGTTGGCGCGGTGTACGACGTCGCCTGGTGCGATTTATGCGTCCGGAAGCCCTTTCAGCCTCCCAGGCATGTCCCCACAACTGCCTCACAGCCAGCGGGGGTCTAATTGCGTGCGCGTTCGCATGCGGCATGTCCCGCCGCCTTTCTGGCATGTATTGATGGTATGACGAATCGTTGTGCGATGTAGGGCTGATGCGAAGGGCCCCCTGAGTGCTGCCAAGCATGTTATTCTCTCATGAGACTGCGTGAAGGTTAACGAACTGAGTATGCGACCAACACATAAAACACCGCATGTGAATTGTTATGTCATGCGATTAATTAAAGTAAATCGTGTGTGTTTGGTGTGTGTGGTTCATAAACCCCCCCTGGCGGACGGTCGGCACAGCTTTCCGGGCACACATACCAGCACATACCAACGTATTTTTGCACGAAGCAAAAGACATTTTGTTGTAGATTATCCTGGTGCTCGCGGCGCGCGCGGGCGTGGAGCGCGCGCAGAGATTCCTTGCGCAAGCCGGCAGCACGGCATGCAAACTGCGTCCGGATGAGCCCTTTACCCTTGCAATTTGCTGAGCTTACAGTGAATTGAAGTTCTATAATCTTTTCATGGATAATATAATGCAATGTGCAATACTGGGGGCTACGTCGATGCAAGCGCTAGGCGCCAGCAAATGCATGAAATGTAAACAAAGCTAAAACTAGCATTTGGCTAAGTCAATTAGATGTAGGGACATAATTATCTGATGGTTTGGGGCCTGGCTTGGACCACAGCCATGGGCGACCTGTGTGCATGGGACCCTGTGTGTCTGAGAGCCTGTGTGCCTGGAAGCCTAGGATTCTAAAAGCCTGTGTGCCTGGGAGCCTGGGAACCTGGGAACGTGGGAGCGTGGGCGCCTGGGATTCTGGGAGCATGGGTTTCTGATAGCATGTTTACCTGGGAGCCTGGGATTCTCAGATCATGTGTGCCTGGGAGCCTGAAATTCTGAGGGCTTGTGTGCCTGGGAGCCTTGGATTCTGAGAGCATGTGTGCCTGGGAGCCTATGTGCCTGGGAGCCTGGGATTCTGAGAGCATGTGTGCCTGGAAGCCTGGGATTCTAAGTGCAAGTGTTCCTCGGAGCTTATGCTAGATGGCTCGAAAGTGGTGCGCATCGGAATCGTTGAGGGTCTCTTGTGCAATCACGCTTCAACAAAAGATGGAGAGATGGTCTTGCGGCTGCTGGAGCCGGCTGGACAAGTTGGGTGTCGGCTTCAAGAAAGCCGAAAAAAGGGCGGGGCCCCTTTGCATCCGTACAGGCCGGTAGCAAGGGTGGCAAGGGTGACAATTGATGGGTAGTGTCAACGCGGTGGGAGATATGCTTTGTTGCAGCAGTGCTGATGGTGTGAGAGCTAAGCTTGCACCGGCGGAATCGTCAGCACCGCCTGCGGGCTCCACGCGAATCGCATCCATTCCGGGTGCATGCCGCATGGACAGTGCGGCAGACCGCAAGTCGGAATGCCCGTGCGGGCAAATGGTAACGAAAGCTGGGTGAATTTCGGTGCTGTCTGTGATGTTTATCCCCGAAGCGCCAGCGGCCTCAGCAATCTGCCCCACAGCCGCGGGGTTCATCGGGGCACACCGCAAGTCTCAGGAGGCCCCGTGCATTGGCCAAAGTAAATGTACAAACAAGGAGCTTGTGTATTTCATAGAGAAATGAAAGCAAATTATGTTGGCCTGCTGGTGGCAAGTCGGATTGCCCATGCCGGCAAATGGTAACACAAGCTGAGTGTTCGAGTTATCATACGCCGTCATCTCAGAATTCCATTGTGAGATACGCGGCAGCTTTTGGGATGAAATTTAGCGCGAGAGGCGTTGATGTGGCTTTTGAGGTCGGTGAATGGAGGCAGCTAAACTTGTTTGTGCTCATACGATTTTTGTTGGCTACATGCGAGATACCTTGCAATAGAGAATGCTGTATAGTACCTATAACGCGTTTCAGCCGGGCGAGATGTTATGTTTGGTCCGTTACACACGCACACACACACACACACACACACACACACACACGGACATGGGCAATCCTACAGGTCGGGGCCCCCCTGGGCGCTTCACGCTGGGGCCCCGCCCAAAAAGGTAAGCCTTGAGCCAGTTATTTGCACGACACTTGTGTGATGCCTGCATTTATGCCATTGATCCCTTGCATTCATTTCGCATTTCCTCAAACACTAGACCATGTGTTACAGTTTTACCTGCCACACCACTTCAAGCGCAACCCGAGTGACCGGTGGACAACAAATCACCTGGTCCAGATCGTGGGTGTCAAATACGACTGGCAGCTTGATGAAGGCAAGCTGGCGGACACAGAGGGCAGCGGCACAATGACATACGTTGAAGAAGCCATCTCGTCACAAGGGGGCTGATGCCGGCTTAACACAGAAGCGCCAGCCACACAAACAAAAGGTCGAAGAATGGGTGCTGGCCGAAGCACTGGCCGCCGTGGATGTGGCCATTGGACTCGGGCAGCACCGATCGAAGTCCGGGCATCGAATCAAAAGCACCCGAAAGGAGACCTTCTGATACTGAATGAATGGGGTTTTACACTGTGCCGGGCCACACCACAGTGCAGGGCAGGGCACGTGTTTACATCTCTTCGTCCATGTGGATGATTGAATGAATGAACAAACGAATGAAAGGGGTGGTTTTACATTCGGGTCGGTTCAGGTGGTGGTATCTTTTTGTTGAACACATGTTGTATGGTCGAGTGCCGGGGGGCCTTCGCAGTGCTGATGCACAGCACAAGACAAGACATGTGGATATGTCTGCTTGTCTGAACGAACGAATGAATGAATGAATAAACAGGGTGTTAAAACTGTGAGCAGCTTGCCATGCACACACACCTCTGGTTCTGGTCGGCTCGGGTGGTGGTAACTTTTTGTTGAACACACACACAGTGAATGTATGAATGAATGAGTACAGAGTATGGAGTACGGTAACCAGGCGTGTAGGGTTCCTGCCACTTCCTGGCCCATGTACGGAAACGAAAAACACAGTATACATGAGAGATACTCATAAGTGCTCCATTTACAGAGTTTCGTAAAGTTCCTTCAACTCCCGCGATTTTGGATGCCTGTCTGGCAGTTTCCGGACCGACCCCGGAATAGGTCGAAATTGCTCGGTACAAGGGATTGGAATTGGAACGGGGAGTTACACCTGGGACAAGTTAAATTGCCGGGACAGGCCCTTGGATTGACCTGACAGGGACACGAATTGGCCTGGCAGGGACATTCCAACAGTCATGATTAGCCTGGCAGGGACACGAATTGGTCTGGCAGGGACATTCCGACAGTCAGAATTAGCCTGTCGGGGTGTCGAATTGGCCTGGCAAGGACAATCTGACAGTCAGAATTGGCCTGTTAGGGGTGTCGAATTAGGGAAGCACAGGAATTGTGCGACTGGGGCAGTCCAAAGAATTGCTCTCCCCTCTAGATATCCTCTCCATCCGCTTGCATCAGGACGAATAGATAACCTGCAAGGACAACCAAATGTGTATGTCTGACCCAGTGGAATCCTTGGGGCCGTGTGATACCTGAAAGATGCGTACACCTGTTCACATCCTTACAGCCGCAAGGATTCAATACACACACTGTATTTCAAGGCGCTGCATCGCTGCTACTGGCATATGATAGCCTCTTTCGTCCCAACCTTGGCCGAGCCGTGGGTGTTGGGGCCGCTGCAGGCGCTCGACCCAGGCCGGTGCGTTTTTGCAGCTTAGTTTGTGCATGCTGCTGCTCCCATCGTGCTGCCGTACCATCTGCTGGTATTGGGTCCTGTCGATGAGTGATACCGTTGCTGCCGTGAGATCCCCTTTGGGAAACGGGCAAGGGGCCCGTGTTCCTACCGCTGGAATGCGTGTCGGCCGTTGCGCTGATTTGCGACACAGCGGCTTCAAGGGGCCGTCCTAAGCTAGTACGCATGAATTGTAGAGTTCCTGGCCGATATCCAGCCAGGAAATCGGCCAGAGAGCACCAGGATGGGCATGTGTTCATAGTATTTGCCTAAGAGCCACGTTCATGGCTTACCGCGACTGTCAGAACTATCGCCGACAGGCGGAGACTCCACGCACCGGAAGCTACCAAAGATATGAACTAATCACATTGAAAACTTTCAAATTAAAAAATCCTGCCATTTGCGCAGTTGTGCAGTTTTGATACCTCATATCCCCGGTATTGTAAGTTTGCACGCGCTTCCCCCACGCATAATGCTACATATACATGTGATAGAATAATGGCCAAGCGTGCAATGAACGCTGATCGTGTTCAGTTGCTAAGCCGTACAACCGGAGTGCTGGGCAAGCCCGCGAGTGCGCAAGCCGGCCGGTTGGCCACTCCGCTCTGGTACCTTCACTTAGGGACTTTCGCACTTTGAACATACTGCCATATTGTGTCGTTCGTGCTGCTGTAGTGATCACGTTGTAAATATTGCGAATTTGTATAGTTGTTGCTTTAATGAACACAAGGCCCATCTTTTACGATAACGGCGTGCAGCTGCTTTGGTTAATGTGGCCCCGCAACATACGTAAGGGAATAATCTTGGATACTCCGTAACTTTGTCACGGGTTTGAGTTACGAACCACTATTTGCTGTTGTCACCAGTTCGATGAAGTACACCGCCCTTGCGCCCTTATTTTGGAGTGTAGCCCTTGCAACTTCAGCTTCCACGCTAAACTCGCAGGTAGAAAAGCAAGGACTTGTTTCGCGTCGTGGGATCAATCCAACCTTGATCTCTGGCAAATGCGTTTTCATTCTGGCGTCCGGGCAATCGGGTTCCACGGCCCTCATGGACGCGCTCAATCAAATCCCACATTATTTGATTAGAGGTGAACAATGGGCGGCTTTTTGGAATATTTATGAAGCCTTCTTGTAAGTTTGTATCCCCTACCGATATCAGGGATCTTTTTCAAGGATATTTCTGTTTTACAAATGCAGGAACTTTGAATGGACCATGACCGAACCTGTATGTCAGCGGGTGTTCAATTGGACAACATACAATTTTGCGGAGCTAGGGTTGGTGAAAGAATTATACGATATGGAAGCTCCGCGTCAGAAACTACCCTGGTTTAACGAGTTCCCCCAGGAAAGGTTACTTGCTGCAATCAGGTCTTACTACAACGTCTTATACGGTTACTATGGCCGAAGTATGGCATTTTGAGACAGTCGCGTAGCATCGCATACTTCAAAAGAGACTGACTTGTTTTGCTTCTAAACTTGTGCAGACTTGGTTTCGGGCTTTAAGGATAGCAGGTGCGTTTCTGTGAAAGGCTGATGCTTCTCTACCCTGCTTACGTTTAGGTACGGTGGTTGCTCAGGTATGTCTGCGGAAAATCGTTCTCTAGCAGCCGTTGTGCCCAGTCCTTCAACGGCTTTATGGCTTTCCTCCGCACCCTCTGCTTGGATGTCAAGGTAGGCACAGGCACCTGGTTGGCCATGTCCTTTGATGCAGAGGAGTGCGAGCTGTTTTGTTAAGAGTATGCCCACATATACCAAGCTTTGCGTTGTAGGTATTGCTTAACACACGATTGCCCTCTTCATTCGGGACAAGTATGAAGATCCACGGCATGGAGCAAAGTTTACCTGAAGATGATTTTCGGAAGGACCTGATGGAAACCTATGCTTTGTTCGATAGCTACGTCACCCGGAATACCGATCATGCATTCCGGGTATTTTATGAGGACATGCATGATCCTGCGGTAAGCAAAAGTCTTGCATCAGTCATCGAAGATCAATGAATGCGCTCAATGGTCGACAATTGCCGCTGCAGAAGAACGCGACCCTTGCAAAGAAACTCCTGGAATTTTTGGGGGAGGACACCACAACTGCGTTACAATTCACCCGCATGCCACTATCAGGCAACTAAGTACGAGATTACAGTTACGTGAGGTGGCGCCATGGAGTCAGCGATGGTTTACGAAATCACAGCAGCATTTAGATTGCACCGTTCCTGCGTGTGCATGAGTACTGTTTAGCGTAAGAGAGGATATTTTGTTAACCGGTTATTTGCTTGGCATGCAATTCAACCTCGAAGGCAGGAGAATGTTGAAATTTACTAGGCAAGTAGCTCGTCCAGTTAGCCATTATCGGTGGACTGGAGACTGGCAACCACAACGTGTGTAAAACCAAGTAGTGTACGATCTTGTTTTCAGGACATTATATGTGTAGAGTGAGAGACACCGTTGCCAAGGAGGGATCTGGTCAGCATCAGCTTTTTCCTGAGATTGTACTTGGGATGAGCGGGGATGATCTAATGGACGTCACAGCCTCAGCCTTTGCTAATCCTTGCCTTTACCAGCGCTCGCCCTTTTATGCAATGAGGGGATGCTTATGGCCTGTTTTGTTGAAGATCCACTCTGAAGCGCATGTCAGGTGCTAGTGTACCTTGTCAGGCCGTCTGCAGACGGCCTACAAGGCCCTAGGGCTTGTCGAAGATGCATATGCATAACATCATGCCTAGATACGCTGGACATGAGCCTGAGTCTGCAATCGATGGTTACTTGCACAGTAGACGGCGAGCCGTCGGTTGTCCCCTGGCATGGTTCGCTGGCGGTGAGCTAATTTTTGCCTTTGCTTAGCGCTTTTTAGCCTCTAGTAGTGCCAGAGTTCTGCATCTCGCAACTCGCAGGTCCCATACCGGCTCCAAAGGTCGACTACAAGCATCGAGCTTCTTACTCCTCTGCCCTCTCCGTAGCTGTCAGCTGATGTGCTGCCCAGAAGGTTGCAAAGATTGGGGATTGGGGACAGGTACTGGTCAGGCGGGATGGGAAATATAGGGTGACAACGTCAGGATGGGAGATGTGGGGCCCAAGGCAAGGATTAGGGATTAGGCGTGCTACACTACTGTTAGGATGGGGATTGCTGTCGGGGTGATGATGGGGATGGGAACCCTGTCAGAGGGATGGGGATTGAAACCTTGACCAAGGACGGGATTGGGAACCCTGGCCAAGGATGGGGATGGGACCCTGGCTGATAGGAAGGGGATTGCAGGCTGTCCCAGGTTTAGGATGGGCTCGCTGCCATAGGGTGAGGATTGGGTACACAGCTGGATGATTAGGATGGGTGGTTCTGCTGTAAGATGCTGCTGCAGGTGCAGAATGGGGAATACTGACAGGACTGCAACAGACCAGGGATGGATGGTGTAGTTGTCCATAGTTGCTTACTTGGTGTGTTGTTACTGATGGTGCATCTCACCGCGTCTGATGAAAGTGTTTAAATGGTGGCCAAAGCCAGTACCAAAGATGCACGTTGTCATTGCTACCGCTCATTATTGCGCTCGCCAAGATCGGCCAAAAAATTATAATAGTAGTAGTTGCTGTTAGTTCTTTTTGAAAAGCTGTAACTCTTAGATAAAAAATGATTCTTCCTTTATTTCTAACTCTGAAAAGGTAACCTCTTAGGAAAAAAATGATACTGCCGTACAGTCTCTATAGGGAAGAAGGCCAATGATGCCGTACAGTCCCTATAGGGAAGAAGGCCAACGATGCCGTACAGTCTCTATAGGGAAGAAGGCCAATGAAATATGGGGGCCCTGGTGAAGCAGCTGCCCGCGTTTCCAAAGCACGTATGGTGATGTGGAAGGTGGCCGAAGTACGTCGGTGAAATATAATGTGGTAGGACTGGAGAGAATAGTGTAGCAGTATAATGTATTGTGAGCGTAGCTGAAGCTTTCATCGTGGGCGCGTCTCGTTGCAAGCTAAGCAACGCGTATACATGACGTGTAGCATCAGTCCTCAGTTCACTTCTTGTAACGAACATCAGCATAGGTCCAAGCCCTCTCGCTTGGAGGGATATATGCAAACAAACATCCTGATAGGTAAACTCGCATGCTACCGAGCATTCAACCGAGCACATGCATGCATAGTTGAATGGTGAGATGCGACCCCCCTTCATTTCGTGCTCGGCAAGCCTGCCACCGCGTACCGGATATGTTGGCGATGTTACAGAGACGCTGCACCTTGGTTTCTGTGTGCAATGCATACGATGCTCGACCCCGCCGACCAAAACTACACGTGCCCAACTGAAGACATTCCCGGTGGTTGTGCAGCAGCTCTTGAGGCTTTGTTGGCTGAAATCCATCCTGAGCTGTTGCAACACGGCTAACGCGGGCACGTCCCTATGCACAGCAAATAGCTGTTCCAAGCCAACAGCGGCGTCCATGTCACCGACAAGGCTCTAAACGTCTTATCTGTTCTTATGTTTAATTCAGTTTATGTATGTTATACTTTGCGCAACTTTGTAATTTGACTTTAGTCGGAACAAGGTGCTGTATGCGCTGCGCTGCAGAAAGCAGGCGCCTTTTGGCTTGCACACAACTGCCTCTTCGCCAGACGCTTCCTCTTCCCGCGGCAGTTTCACGAGCCCAGTGTTGCAAGCTACGACGAAGGCTTTCGGTGCTTTCAATTACTGCAAAGCAGCCACGCAATAGACTAGGCTGCATGCCGCGTGCGACTATGGCCATCGTGCCCACCTGCGCAACGCGCTGGCGCACCTCGTTTGCTTGCGCAAACTGCCGCTTCGCCAAACGCTTCCTCTTCCCGCGGTCGTTTCAAGCGCCCAGTCTTGCAAGCTACGTTGTTTGCTTTCTGTGCTTTCAATTACAGCAAAGCAGGCATCCCATTGTCCGGGCTGCATGCCGCGTGCGCCTGTGGCCAGCATGCCTTCCTGCGCACCGCGTTGACGCACCGCGGCCTTTCTTCTAAGAAAATTTATATACACTTGTACACGCGCATTTTGCGAATCGCACGCGCGCATCCGCGCGTTAAAATTCGGGACTGTCGTTGGGCCATCTTGTACGGTCTGTTTATTCGGCACAGTACGACCGGACACATTTGTGCGAGAGGCTGCTTAAACATCAGCACATCCCCTTAGAATCGCAATATATAATCGGCGGGTTATTGGCAGCCCTGCCTACTGCAATGGCACTGCATCCCGCGCGGGCCGCGATGGCGTTTGCCCTAGCGGCCGCTATGGATGAAATTTTTGACAACCTTGAGGATATGTTCAATTCTCAATGGCAGTGCTTGAGCGTGTGGGCCGACGCGGCGCGGCCCATGCCGCCGGAAGTGCGGCCGACTTGCCATTTCGCGGATGGCTTCAGCCCTGATACTACAATGGGTTACATATTGGCTATTTAAGCGGTCGTGCGCGGTCGAGCAACACGAGCGGCGTTGTCCTTGTTCATTTTCCAAGATAACTGCAGCGGTGTGAATAGAAATTCGAGCTATGAACCGATTCCCACCTCGCGCCTTTGCGCACCGTGGGGAGGCCAAATATGAGTATATTCCGCTAAGGTGGGACGCACTTCCGCTACCCACTGACAAATATACTACCAAAGATTTTCAAGAATGGAACTTGTGTTTTCTGGTTCGGCCCTTATAACTTTGTAAGGTCCATAAGGTAGTACAATGGCGCCTCGCAAGCACCAAACGCACGTACACAAGCAATATGATAAATCACTGAAATATTTTCCCGTTCCAATAATTACATAATGATTATGCCCGATTGAGAGGAAGCTGAGCATGCAATGAGTACCAAGGTCGATATATTCGGAACCAAACGCAAGCGTGCTAGGCTTATTAGGGAGGAAGGTGTACGCAGAAGTACCACCGCTGCAAACCGCGACCCCCAAGTGCCACGCCGCCCCCAAAGGCAGCACAACCAACCTACCACTGTAGAACCTACCATTGCAGAAGAAGACATTTATCAAGAAGATGCGCCAACGGACTTCGGCTGGATACCGGATGATCACCCGCATGTGGGACAGGCTGACATTGAAGGGACAGCTGCGGCTGATCATGGGGCATGTGATTCAGACGATTACAACGGGGACAGCAAGGATGCTGACGAATCAGATGGCGCTGGCGGAGCGGCCACCTCTTACGGACTCGCGTTTGACCCCCAACACGCTAGTCTGTACTTCCATCATCTTCCCAATGTGAGTGCAACCCGTGCAGCTCTGCTGGCGGCGACGCATTCTGCACTGCAGAGCGCCGTGGAGCGGTGCAGCGATGAGGCCGCCTGTCCCCGCTGTGGTTCCGCAGGATGTCGTGGTGGCCTTTCTCCTATCCCTGTCACAGTCGTCTGCTGGGACAAACCCATGGCGATCAGCCTTCCCCAGCTGACCTGCATGCACTGCCGTGCACCTTTCACCATTCGGTCGACAACGGCTGTCGACTGCCTGCCGGATACAGTATCCTCATGAGACCCGTGTGATTTTCGACTGACCCATGGGTCGCCTCCTACCAACCACCCAGCGACGCACACAGAGCACCTAGCATCCGGACCAAGTACACGCTTATGACCAGATGTTTTGCACACGGCCTAGTTCCGATAATAATAATAAAAGCCCGTATGCAGAAGAGCGCGTCGAGATCCGTAGTTCGGCTGACCCAGTGGTCGCCTCCTATCATGCCTTCGAGCCCACCCAGCGGCGCACACAGAGCACCTAGCATCCAGACCAAGTACGCGCTTATGACCAGATGTTTTGCACACGGCCTAGTTCTGATAATAAAAGCCCGTATGCAGAAGAGCGCGTCGAGATCCGTAGTTCGGCTGACCCAGTGGTCGCCTCCTACCATGCCTTCGAGCCCACCCAGCCTATCCCACGTGCGGGTGATCATCCGGTATCCAGCCTAGGTCCGTTTCGGGTCGCGGTTTGCAGCGGTGGTACTTCTGCGTACACCGTGCTCCCCAATAAGCATACAGCTAGCTGTGTTTGGTTCCAAATTTACTGAGATTGGTACTCATTGCATGCTCAGCTTCCTCTTAATTGGGCATAATCATTGTGTAGTTCTTGGAACGGGAAAATATTTCAGTGATTTATCCTATTGCTTGCGTACTTGCGTTTGGTGCTTGCGAGTCGAGATCGATCGCCATTGTACTTCCTTATGGACCTTACAAAGTTAAGGACCGAACCAGACAACACAATTTCAATTCTTGATAATCTTTGGTAGTATATTTGTCAGTGGGTAGCGGAAGTGCGTCCCACCTTAGCGGAATATACTCATATTTGGCCTCCCCACGGTGCGCAAAGGCGCGAGGTGGGCATCGGTTCATAGCTCAGAAATTCGGTCGGAGTGCAAAGCGCGCACAATTTGTCAAATATGTGGTCTTTATAAGCGATTGGGCTTGGCTGTTTCTTATAACTCGCGAAATTGGCGACGCAATTCAGGTTACGGAACGAGGGGTCGAAATTCACCCCCCCCCCGGTCACTTTAGACTTTTCGTCCACTTTACCGGTAACGTACCGTTACCATGTCCGAACCGACCACTTTTCACAAAAAGTCTTAACGTAACGTAGCATGTGAACTGGCTATAAAGGTTCATTTGGAAATAAACTTGCGTCGTTTTGGTCGACTTATACTGGATTCACATGCTACGTTACGTTGCGAAACTTTTTGGGAAAAGTGGGCCTGAAAAAGTCACCCAGTTCACATGGGACATTACGACGACGTTGTGTTCGTTGGCGCGAGCTGTGTAAACCATCTCCATTTTATGTCTTTCAATGGCCAAAACTTCAGCACATCCCCGTAGAATCGCAATATATAATTTACGGGTTATTGGCAGCCCTGCCTACTGCAGTGGCACTGTATCCCGCGCGAGCCGCGATGGCGTTTGCCCTAGCGGCCGCTACGGATGAAATTTTTGATAACCTTGAAGATATGTTCGATGCTCAATGGCAAAGTTTGAGCGTGTGGGCCGACGCGGCGCGGCCCATGCCGCCGGAAGTGCGGCCGACTTGCCGTTTCGCGGGTGGCTTCAGCCCTGATACTACAATGGGTTACATATTGGCTATGTAAGCGGTCGTGAGCGGTCGAGCAACACGAGCGGCGTTGTCCTTGTTCATTTTCTAAAATGAACTGCAGCGGTGTGACTAGAAATTCGGTCGGGGTGCAAAGCGCGCACAATTTGTCAAATATGTGGTCTTTATAAGCGATTGTGCTTGGCCATTTGTTATAACTCGCGAAGTTGGCGACGCAATTCAGGTAACGGTACGAGGGGTCGAAATTCACCCCCCCCCCCCGGTCACTTTAGACTTTTCGTCCACTTTACCGGTAACGTACCGTTACCATGTCCGAACCGACCACTTTTCCCAAAAAGTCTTAACGCTACGTAGCATGTGAACTGGCTATTAACGCGGCCTAACACACACCAAACGCACACATGTCGCAACGCGATTCGCATGCAGGCAAATGTTGCGTTTCAAGCGTATGAAGGCTCGCTGCGTCAAGTTTACTGCGGCCTAGCACACCAAACACACACGATTTACTTTGATTAATCGCATGACATAACAATTCACATGCGATGTTTGATGTGTTGGTCGCATATTCAGTTCGTTAACCTTCACGCAGTCTCATGAAAGAATAACATGCTTGGCAGCACTCAGGGGGCCCTTCCGCAAACGAGATCGCATCAGGCGCAGCCTTACATCGCACAACGATGCATCATACCATCTATAGATGCCAGAAAGGTGGCGGGACATATGCCGCATGCAATTAGACCCCCGCTGGCTGTGAGGCAGTTGTGGGGACATGCCTGGGAGGCTGAAAGGGCTTCCGGACGCATAAATCGCATCAGGCACTGTCTTACACCGTGCCAATGATGTATGACGCCATCAACTAATTGCCGAAATGTGACGGGGAAGGCTGCTGGGGAATGGAGCATCCAACATAACATTAACTAGTTGTTAGAAAGGCGGCGGGGAAAGGAGCATCCAACACGCACGCAATTAAACCCCCGCCGTGAGCAATTAAACCCCCGCCGTGAGATGCGTCGGTGGCTGTGAGGCAGTTGTGGGGACATGCCTGGGAGGCTGAAAGGGCATAAATCGCATCAGGAGCCATCGTACACCGCAACAACGATGCATCATACCACAACTAGTTGCCAGAAAGGCGGCAGGGAACACGGCTTGATCAGTCATGCTCGCTAGGCAACCATCATGGGGAAGGGATGTAAGGGTGTCCTCCTCTCGAATGGGTCGAACTACTCCCAGTGGCTCGGCGACTTAGGCGATTTCTTTGCAACATCCAAGTTGAAGACTACATCAACACCCGTCGCCTCCGGGCCGCAACGCCCAAGACGCCCTGGAGGAGGATGCACAGGCGCTCGGCTAATTGCATCTGTCCTGTGAACTGCCCATCAAGCAGTTGCTCAGGAATTGCCAGACCATTCTCGCCGCCATGCAGCTCTTACAGCAACAATTGCGTTCTGCATCCCAGGCCCGGCTGAGCCTGTTGGAGCCGCAGAAACAGCTGAGCATGCGCGATGGGAAGACGACCACTGACTTCGTTCAGCAGGCAGAGCAGCTCCGTAGCAATATAATCATGGCCGGCGGCCAGTGGGACGAGAGCACGATGCACCACGCCATTCTCCATGGCCTGCCTCCGCAGTGCACCATCACCGTCGAGTTGACGATGTATCAGCCCAACTTAACGACCCCACAGCTCGTGCTCATGCTGCGTGAGAAGGAGAACAACCTTAAGACCTAAGCAAGCAAGACAAGCCTGGTGGGAGCTGTCGGCCCTGGCCGTGCTGCCAGTGGAATCGGCAGCGCCGCCGGTGCTGCAGGCGCTGTGGGGGCCGGCGACACCTGCCACTACTGCGGACAGCCTGGTCACTACGTTCACGAGTGTCCCGTTAAGCAGGCGGACGAGTCCGTCGGCCTTCACCGCAGCAACACATTCGAGCAGCTGCACGCCGCCGGCAACATCAGTTGAGGCAGCTGCAACCGCCACCGTGACGGTGGCGGCAGGGGCACTGGCAGCGGCAATGGCGGTAACAGCAGGGCCGACGGAGCACGTGAATGTGCCCGTGCTCAATGCGGCAACAGCCACTGCAACGGTGGCGACACTGCAGGCGGCAGCAGTGGCAGCGGCTCGGGCAGCAGCAGAAGCAGCCCACGCCAGAGCCGTGCCCCAGTGCTGGTCATCGACCGCAGTGGAAGCCGGCCCACAACGGTGGCGACTGCCTCTTGTTGTACTGCGGCAGCTGGCAGGGACTCCTGCTGAATGGTGTCAACGGTCGCACCCTGCTGCTGCCCAACGGCAGCAGCGGGTGCAGCCCGCCGGCCCACAACGGTGGCGACTGCCTCTTGTTGTACTGCGGCAGCTGGCAGGGACTCCCGCTGAATGGTGTCAACGGTCGCACCCTGCTGCTGCCCAACGGCAGCAGCGGGTGCAGCCCGTCGGCCAACAACGGTGGCGACTGCCTCTTGTTGTACTGCGGCAGCTGGCAGGGACTCCTGCTGAATGGTGTCAACGGTGGCATCCTGCCGCTGCCCAACGGCAGCAGCAGGTGCAGCCCGTCGGCCCACAACGGTGGCGACTGCAATTCGACGCGGAATTCGACACACGCTTCCACGCGCAATTCAACGTGTGCTTCAACACGCGCTTCAACGCGCAACGTCCGCGTGTCCGGATCGTTTTGGAAATTCCGGGTTGGAAGGAATGCCGTACATGCTTAAGACAGCGCCGTGCAACACGCAATTCAGCACGCAATTCAACGCACACGAACGCAATTCGTTCAACGCGCAGTGCAACGCGCAGTGCAACGCACAATTCAACGCGCAATTCAACGTGCGCTTCAACGCACAAAGTCCGCGTGTCCGGATCGTTTTAGAAATTCCGGGTCGGATTCCGGGTGCGCTCGCGTTCAATTGTGTTATGATCGAGCCTATTTAAGAAGCGTTCCACTTGTGTGGTGGGACCGAAAGACCCCGAGTGATGGGTGGTGAGCTGTCTTATCGACCGGCCACCGACGGAAGTACGGCAAAGTGCATCAGATTAGGTGATGGACCTATGGTGAAGGCCAAACTACACTGACGAACGATAACGAATAGGCGAATGAGAGTAATGTAACAGCTCATGCTCGTTACATACTTCCCCCCCTAATTGGCTGGTCGTCCCCGACAGCCGACTTATCCACGCCGCCACGCTTGCGCATGGAAAAGCAGAGTCGCAGGCACCCCACTGGCAGTAGACATAGTCCGAAGAAATGCGGAGAAACGAGAAGGCTTACGAACACCTGTTCCAGATCTGGTTTTACGAACGTCCGAGACGGAGGACGGCGAGACAACAGGCGTGACTCCTGGTTTAGGTTGGGACGCGAGGGTAGCAGCTGTTTTACGTGTCTGCCAATACGAACGCAGCAAATCTGCACAGTTAGTCAGGTTCGACTCTGGTTCCCACGAGTCGTACTCTGGAC